CGCGGCGCGGCCGGCCGGCGAGCCCGCAGAGGCCGCCGGGCAGCGCGCCGCGGAAGGGCGCGAACCGCTGGGGCAGCCCGCTGAGGGCCGCCGCGGAAGGCTGGGCCGAGTCGCCGGGCGCGAGGGGCCCCTCCCCGGGGGGCTTCCGCGAGGAGCGCTGGAGCAGCCCGGAGCGGCGGGGGAGTCAGCAGCGGCTGCCCTCGCCCCCCGGCAGAAGGCGGCCGATCGGGCAGGGCAGCGGCGAGAGGACGACCAAGCAGCGCAGCCTCAGCGGCGACCACGGGGGCTGGGACAGCCCCACACGGGAGGCCAGGCAGAAGTCCCCCAGGGGCTGGGAGCACGGCCGGACGGATCTCCCCAGGAACCGGTGGAGCAGCCCTGGAAAGCGGGGCAGCCAGCAGCACCCACAGCCCCTCGGTAGAAGGCACGCCGAGCCGGGCAGCCCCGAGGGCGCGAGAAGTCTGGAGAGCCCCAGCAGCCACTCCAGGGCCTGGAGCGAGGCTGACTGGGAGCACAGGCAAGAATGCCCCCCAGGCTGGAGCCACCCCTGTCGGGATGCTGGTGGAGGCAGGTGGAGCAGCCCAGAGAGGAGGGGCGGCGAACAGCGCCACCCTCCCAGGAGACGGCAGGTGGGGCCGGGCAGTCCGGAGAGGCCCCTCCGGAAGAAGGCCGGCACCAGCCACAATCCCCAGGGCTACGGCAGCCTAGAGCAGGAGTCCCGTCAGAAATGCCCCCATGACCAGCGCCCTCCTGCTGAGGACTACTTCTGGGAGAGTTCCGGAGGCAAGTGGCGCAGCCTGGAGAGCAGAGGGAGGGAGCATGAGAGTCCAGCCATGGTGCAGAGGCGCAGGAGGCAGGAGGGCATGCCTGGAGAGGAAAGGGCCTGGAACAGCCCGAAGCAGAGACCGGGGTGGGAGGGTTCTGGGAGCCTCAGCAGCCAAAGCCAGTTTGATTCAGACCAGGGTGGTGTGGTTTGGGGTGTCAGCAGGCAAAGCGGTCTTGGGCAAAGGGGGGCAGGAGCTGAAAGCCCCCAGAGCTCCGATCGGCAGCAGAGGCCCACTGGGAGCCAGCAGGACTGGAGCCGGCCCACATTCTTCAGCGGGGGATGGAATCCTGGGGAGGGCCAAGCAGAAACGGAGAGCCACGGAAGGGGCGAGCAAGGCAGCGATTTTGGCAGGGAGGAGGGCAGCCCCAGGAGGAGCCCCTCCCCTGTGGAAGCAGCCACCAGTGCCCCTGCGGCCCAGTCGCTGAGGTGGACGCCACGCGAGCAGCTGGTGCAGTACTGGATGCGGTGCCGGGCCACCCTGAAAAACAGGTTGCGGGAGCAGCTGATGGCCTTCTGCCCCCGGCCCACCTTGCCCGACAGGTCTTCCGAGGTCCCGGTCCTGAACCCAGAGATCCTGTGCTTGTTCAGCGCCAAGCAGGTCAAGGAGATCGAGAGCCTTTCGCGGCCCCTGCGGGTGCTGCAGAACGAGGTCCTGGACATGCTTGCGCCGGCCATGACCATCTACGAGATGGCCGAGGAAGCGATGGAGCGGGGGGAGTCCGTGGATCCCATGGAGCTGCGCGAGTGGACGCGCCGCCTCATCCGCTACATCGGCAGCATCAGCCACAGGCTGACCCTGCAGCGCCGCATCCAGGTCCTCGGCACCCTCAACCCACGGCTCAAGATGGTGTCGTCCAAGATGGCGAGCCGCTGCACCGACGGGAAGCTCTTTGCGGAGGACAAGGTGAAGCTCCTGAAGGAGATCGTCAAGAGGTTCCCACAGCTGACGGTGTCCCAGAACAGGCTGTCCGCCAGGAGGTACCAGCTCGCTGCCCGGCGACCTCCGTCTGCGGCCACCTGGCAGAGAAGATTCCCCCCGGGGCCTCATTCTCGCCCCAGGCATCCTGCTGCTCATCAAAGCCCAGGTAAGGCCTTCCATGGCTGGCACCAGCAGGCCCTGCAGTGTGTCTGAAGCCGTGAATCCTCTCCCTGCTCATTCGATTGCTTTCAGAATCAGATGGTGAGAGATTCGTCTGTTTCTCAGCGCAAGTTCATGCTGGCTTCTCCCCCTCAGAACAACGAATTCTTTGGAGGAAGGCCTTTAGCAGCAGAGCGTGATGGTGACGTCACAGGTGCATCCATTTGCAGCGTTCAGTGGCAGCCCTTAATCGGCACACCAGCAGCACCTGAAGACGCTCTTAAGACGCTTCATGGAAGCCGCTAGAATGCTGTGGAGCGTATGGGCAACTTTGAGCCGTCTGCGCCCCTGGGCAGGGCATCCGTGGCCCCTGAAATGGCCTTGAACTTCCCACAGGTTCTCTGTTGGACCTTCACTGGCTGGATCAGCAGCGTGTGCTCTGCTCTTGGGAGGCCAAGAGGTCTCCTTGGCGGTGGTGGCAGCTGTCGTCAGCTCTTCCTGCCCCACGACTGCAGTAGGGAGTACTGGAGGCAGTGGGCAAATGCCTTCCTCTTAAACAAAACCGTTCTGCTCTCGTCCTGCACCTTGAATGCATCTGGGAAGCTGAGGGAGAATTCACATTCCACACAGTTCCCGATCCTTGTTCAGCCCCTCGATAAGTTCAACAGATGCCCTCCTCTGGGAGCCCTCCGTGAATGATATTAGGAGGGTGAGTACCCGGAGGAGGGCCTTCTCTGTGGTGGCGTCACACTTATGGAATGCGCTCCCCAGAAGAGGTCCGCCTGGCGCCGTCCTTATTTGTTTTTCAGCACCAGGCCAAGACCTTTTTATTTAAAACTTATTTTAAGTGTTAATTTATTATGTAGGTTTTGTTTTGTTTTTTTTTTAAGCCGAGATGCACCGGGTTTTAATATTTTTATTGTATAATTTTAATATGCTTTTGTTTGTTTTTGTTGTGAGCCGCCCCGAGGCTTTGTTGCGATGGGGGCGGCATAGAAATGTTTTAAATAATAAATAAATAAATACATGGGGCGCAGTGGGCAGATAGTGGGGCAGAATGGGGCTGAGACTACAGCCCTTTCGTGCCAAAAGGGCCCCAGTGAAGCCAGTCTGTTCCTATTTCAGCAGCCTGCTTTAGTTGGGGAATGGAAGGATCCACTGGAAGGCTTGCTGGCCCGCCCTTTTTCCTCCTCCCTGAGCAGTGGAGGGGAAAGGCGCAGAAAGTGCTCTTCCGACACACCTCGCACAGGGTCCTGACCCACACAAGGACACACCCTCCTGCCCGGGAGCATGGGGTGAAGGCCCCACGCAGTCCTGTCCGCAGCATCCTCCTCCCCCCAAAGGGGGCCTCCCCTCTGACATGATGCCCCGCCCCCCACTGCCTGTGGGCAGCCTGTTGAGAGTAGGCGAGGGTGGCGGCTTGTGGCCTTCCAAAGGTTTGGCCCTCAGGCCTTCGCCCTCCTAGCTGGCCCAGGCAGAGCAGTGTTCCTGATCGGTCAGGCATGGGGAGGAACCAGTGATGGATACTTACGAGTTCTGCGCCTTTGCGGAGTCCCCCGAAGGGCACAGAGCCAGGCTTTGACGCGGGTGGAGGCGAGGAAGGGTGCGGAGTGGAGCCCAGCCCAGCATGGCCGGTCCCTGCTCTCTCTGCTTCTCTGAAAGGGCTCGAAGGGTTCCCTGCCAGGAATCCCGGTGAGCTGCAGCTGCCAGCCAGAGTGGGCATGACGGACTGGGCGGACTGCACAGGGGGGCCTCCGATGCGCCAGAGCGGGCCATCACACGCCGGCGTTTCCCGCCATGGGTCTCCCTTCCGACTTGCTTCCGCCCCACTGAGCGTTCTCGCTTGTTTTGCAGCCGGCCAGCGTGGGAGTGAGAACCAGCAGTGAGGAGTGAGAGGCCCGTCCAGCAGCACGGTGCCCGGGGCGCCTGCCGTGCCCTCGGGCCGATCGCCGCTGCTCCTGCTGGGGCTGGACGGCGGCCCATGGCATCTCGTCCCGCACCGATCTTCCTTGAGGCCTCTGTCAGGGCAGCGGAGGGGGAGAAGCCGGCAGCGGCTGCACTGGCCCTCGTTCCTGCAGCACCAGAGGCTGGATGTGGACCCGTGTGGCCCAGCACCAAGACGACCGCCACCCCTTGCAGGCCGGCCCGCTCGCACAAGGGCTGCACGTGGCTGCACTTCTTCCATTGCGAGTGGGGTGTGGTCCCACATCCCCACCTGGCCCAAAGGGGGGAACCTCCGGGCCCTTTTCATACCTCACAGTTTCTGCTTGCCGCTTCCAGAAGAGAAGCCACGGATGGACATGGGAACGGGCACCCCTCCTACGAGTGTCCCTTTCCCCTTCATTTCCTTTGCCTGGATGTACTTGGGTGGCAAGACCATATGTCCGGTTTGGTCATCCGCACTCTGGCCTGGATCTGTGGGTGGAGGGAACCCTCCACATACCTGTGGGACAGAAAGGTCTCTGGTTTAAGGCGACCAATTAACTTCAGCTCCTGAAGGACCGTCAGAGGTTTTTGGAGGGAGTACATGGACTTCTTCCTAGTGGAAGCTTTCTGGAGTGACAGGCAGGATTGGAATGAAGCCGCCAAGGATGCAAGAGGACCCTTACTTGTGTGCCTTCAGGTTGCTCCTAGCATAGAACAGCGGAGTGGGAAGGGGCCGGAAGGCCGCCGGGTCCAGCCCTGCTGTTGCAGGACACCAAGTCGCACCATCTCACTCAGGTGACTGCCCAGGTTCTCCTTGAATGTCCCCAGTGTGGGACAGCTTACCACCTATTCAGCTGAATTAAAATGGTTTTGGTTTTCAAATCTGTCTGGACTGATGCTTCCCCGTCATTGGCAAGTCACCTTACTACCGCTGCCCCAGGCTTCCAGTGCTCCAGGTGCCCTGTTTTTGTTTGCACTATTTAATTCTTTCTCTTCACTTAGATTTTACATGCAGCCCAGTGGCTTACAATCTAAAGAGGCCAAGCCAACAAAATAACCAGAACCATAAAATGGACCGTGAAAAATGTTACAGCGTTGAGTATAATTTTAAAGCCAGTAGCGAGGTTAATAATCAGGAAACGCCGGCTGGGAGAAAATGGTTCCAGCCTGGCACCGAAGTGAAAAAGCAAAGTGGGCCTGCTTGGAAGGGCATTCCATGGATGGGTCGGGTTGCTGTAAAGGAGGCTTTTCCCAGTAGCCAAGAGCCAGCGCATGGCGAAATGTCCATGCAGATTTAAACGCCCAGAAACGGACAAGAAGCCGGCCCGTAAAGGGTTTGCTGGCTTAATGTCCCTTACCTGCCCTTCCCGAGCAAGTTCATTTCTGAATGGATGGCAGTCACCTGGCAAGGTAAAGGTTTGGCACCTGCAGGTGCAGCACGGCCACTGACTTGGCTGGTGGTCAAAGCAGGCTGGCGTTCAATCTGCACAGAATGGTCCAAGCCTGTGGCCCACACACTAGAGGTGCTGAGATGGATGGAATAGAAGTTTGCAGAAACTACGAGAGGAAACCGTTAAATGGAGCCTCCTTAATTATAATTTGGCTCATCTAGAGATGTTCCCCCACACGAGAACTGAGCTCCCTAGTCTGGATGCACAGAGATTGAATGCTTCAGAATCTGCAGGCCTTTAAAATTCAGCTAACCGTTGGGATGTAGAGTCAGGAGCCCCAGAGGGCTTAGACCCCACCTGGCCTCCCTCAAAGGGCTCTTCCAGAGCGACAGCCAGGGCTGGAGTGGGATTCTCTGACAAGGTTTCGAGGGGGCTGGACGTTTATGTGGTCCACCTGGATCTCAGCAAGGCCTTCGGCAAAGAGCCGCATGATATCCTGGTGGAGAAACGGGGGGCGGGGGTCGGGATAGAGCAGTGCAGTGTCCGATGGCCTGGGGCATGGTCGACTGACTGAAAGCAGAGGGTAGCCGTTAGTGAGGCATCATCAGGATGGCAGTTGGGGACGAGCGGGTCCCCCAGGGCTCTGTCCTGGGATGGATCCCGTTCAATCTTTTCATCAATGCCAGGGAAGGAGGGCTGACCAGTCCGCTGATCAGATTCGCAGATGATGCTGAAATGGGGGCAGTGGCCAGACGTGAGGGGCAGGTGCTCCGGATCCGGCAGGACCTGGGCAGACTATGGAAGTGGCTGGGGGACAACAGGAGGGCGTTAACGTGGATAAGTGCGAGGCCTTGCCCTTGGGGCATGGGAACGGGTGCCTTGCGTGCAGGTTAGGGGACAAGGAGTGGAGAGCAGCACTTGGGAAAGGGACCTCGGGGGTGCTGGTCGCCTGCAGGCTGAACCTGAGCCAGCCGTGAGATGCGGTGGCCGAGAGGGCGAACGGCACCCTTGGTTGCACAGCCAGAAGCGTGGCTTCTAGAGCAAGAGAGGGATTACTGCCACTCTACACGACTCTGGTGCGCCCGCAACTGGAGTATTGTGCTCAGTTTTGGGCCCCTCGTTACAGGAAGGCTATAGCCAGGTTGGAGTCCGTGCAGCGTAGGGCCACAAGGTTGGTGGCCGGTTTGCAAGGGAAGCCGTATGAGGCGAGACTGAGGGAACTGGGCCTCTTCAGCCTGGAGAAGGGGAGACACAGAGGGGATCTGGTGGCGACATACAGGGATGTGAGGGGGTGTCACAGGGAGGTGTGGAGAGACCTGTTCTCCCCTGCAGAGGAAGGCAGAGGAGGGCAGAATGCATTTCAGCGGAGCAAAGCTCAGGGAGCCAAGGTTCAACTTGGATGCCAGGAAGCACTTCCTGACAGTTGGGACCCCGAGGGTGTGGACTGGGCTTCCAGGGGAGGTTGTTGAGGCCCCATTGGTGCAGGTGTTCAAGGATAGGCTGGACGTCCACATGGTGGGCATGTCGTGAGTGTGCTGGCTGGAGTTGAGGTCAGACTAGATGGCCTGGGAGACCCCTCTATTTCTTTGTTTCTGTGATAAAATGGGGAAAGGGGGGAATGGGTGGGCCACTTGTGTTCCTTGCAGGAACGATGACGGAACGGTGGTCTAACGACTGAATCAATATGCCACCTCGTTTTCTTCAGAGACTTCAGAGCAAGGAAGAATCAAAAGCATGAAGGATAAGATAACGTGCAAAGATCGGG